CGGGCGTCTCTCCTTAGCCTCCGCGCGGGTTCTCTTTCCGCTGGCGGATCCTCCGACCTCGCGCTGTCGCTTGTGCTTCATAGCCTGGTCCGTGTTAGCTCGCTCATTAGCCATATGTATGGCTTCTGCGTAGGTGGCCGGTCGGTTGTCACGTAGATCACGATACAGTTGCCCAGATCGTAAAGATTCGATGAAGAAGGTGAGGGCAGTCTGGTCCTCAACCTCCTCGATAGACTGGATTGTGACACCCCAAAAATCCACACTCCAATCCATGAATTAATTGAGTAATTAATTCTATTTCTTTTGAGGAATTGATTCCTAAAATCCTGATTTTTTTGATACTCAAGGACTAGTATTTGACTAGTCAATCTTTAAGTGGTGTTGTACCTTGTGCTTTGAGAGGAGTTCCCTTGTTCCTTACACTTTCTAAGAGTTAGTAAGGGTATCCTTGTCTTTTCACCAAGAGTTAGTTTTGTAACCTAAACCTAGAAGACTTCTTCATTTTTCATCCCTTACAATTCCTAGAAAATATCTCTACCTTCTCTCTAGAAAAGAAGAGTAGCTTGTTCTTCAAGCCTAGTGAGACCTTTGTCAAGATTCCAAGTTTTGCTTCCAAGATTCAATCTTTCCTCTATTTGGGCATCTAGAAGGGTAAGATCTAAGCTTGTCTAGTCTTTTTGGTTCCATCTTAGTTGTCTTTTTCTTAAAGGTGGGATCTTTATGATCTTTTGGTTTGATCTTGAAGTGGGTTTCGGTAGTGAGCTTAGTGGAGAGCTTGTTGTGGTGTAAGAAGAGTCTTTTGGTCTTCAAGAGGTAACCCATGCTCTACAAAACCTATTTTGCTTACCTATATATGATTTCTTGGCTTCTACTTGTGTTTTGCTATGAAATGTGAGAGTTTATGCATTTATCTTGTGATATTGCATATCTAGAGCTTGTGTTTAGGGTTCCTTTGTGCCATTGCTTGACATTTTCCTTGGTTCAAGTCATTTTGTTGTGTTTGGTGAGATTTGGTGTGTTTTGGACTTGAATTTGTGTTTGGAGGAGAAAATCCCCGAAGGGATTTGTTGTTGTACAGGGACGTACCCGCGGGCGGGGCACCACCCGCCGGCCTACCCGCGGGGAACGTGTCGCCCTGTGGGTAGTGTACCCACGGGTGGGGCACTACCCGTGGGTCCACCCGCGGGGAACACGGTGGAGTTGGTTCGGGATTTGTTCCCCGTGATTCATTTGTCTTGGTGTTTGATCTTTTGACTTCCCGTTGTTCTTTGTGGAACTATTTGAGCGTCTTCTTGATGTTTCGTAGGTCTAGAGCTATATGGTAGGTATCCATGTAGGATCTTTGGTGTCTTGAATCGTGCTAAGTGTTCAACTTTGTGTTTCGTTGAACCAAGAGGTGTCTTGTGTGTTCCTCGGAACTATCTTGAGTTTCCCCGTTGTTAAGCATGCTAGTTCGTTGTCTTAATACTAGCGTGTGTGTTGTTCGTACCTTCCGTTTGGTTGATGATAACTTGTGTTATTCATCGTTGTTGTTGTTGGGCTGTGACCCATTCCTTGTTGAGTATGTTTCATACCTTCTTTGCAATCCGTTGATTGTTTCGTGTGAGTGGTGGTGCGTGTGTGGCTCTACCTGGATTGCACGATTAGTTGTATGGGACACTAGTCACCAAGGTATTGCAGCGGTCCTCGTGGTGGCTGTGACGTGATTATGGAGTTGTGGCTGAGTCCACGTGTTTGGGGGATAACATTGTGTTATCCGGGCATGTGTTGCCGTGATTGGTGGGTTTTCGTTGGTGGTTATAGGTGGGGGACGACGGTCCCGGCGGAATAAGGTTGGACTTGGCTGTACAGGGGATTTCTGGAGGTAATGGTTGGCTTTGAAGGTACAAGGTTGGGGGTAGCCATAAGGTTGGAACAGGGCATAAGGAAGGCATATCAACTCGTGATGGGTGATGTCACGAGGGCTTGTGAAGCCGTTGTGGTGAGTTCTCTTCTCTCGTGACGTGTGTAGTCACGGAGCCTTGTGGTGTTTTGGCATGTGTCGCCGTTGGGTGAGTCTTAATCCTTGTGTGTGGTTAACCTTTGTGGTTGGGATGTGTTCCCGGTGTTATCCTTGTGAGTGGTGAGTCTTGTGTTGTCTTCTGATCTTGGCTTTTGACTTATATATATGTATTCCGTTTCGAAAATGGTTTTTATACCTTATATCTACCTATTTATGATACTTAACGGTATTGGTGGGTTACCAGCATCTTTCGCTGACCGGGCGTCGCCCCGATGTTTATCTTTGTATCTTTCAGGTGTTGAGTAGTCGAGCGCGATGTCTAGAGCCGGTAGCTTAGCGCCTGTACCTTTAGATTGTGTTTTTGTGGCCTGCGTGCCAAGGGTTTTAGACTGTTTGTAGTTTGATGTTTTGGGATAGTGATACACTTGCAGATTGTTCGCCTTAGCGTTTACCGGGTGTGGTAGACGTGGCATAACACCCCTGTTTTGGATTTCTTTTATCCAGTTTCCGTTTTCTTCCGCTGTGCTAGTGTTTTGTTGTTAATCTGCATGTGTTAAGACTTGTTTTTAGGTCTTGTTTTGGGGGGTGTTACATGGATCTCCTTTTGTCACCGGGCCAAGTAGGTTTTAAGGGATTCACCCTCCTCTTGATGAACGTCCCCCAGGTGAGTCAGATCCTTTTGCGGCTTGATGTTGGCCGCATAGAGACTCATGAAGCGGTCGGCTAGCTCTTCAAAATTGCATATCGATCCTAGGGGCAGAGCCACCAACCATCTTTGCGCCGGTCCTTTTAGTGTCGGTAGGAAAGCGCGACACATGACAGGGTCTCGGACCCCTAAGACCTGCATCTTAGCCTGATAGCTCAAAAGGTGCTCTCGCGGATCACCGGATCCGTCGAAGGTGGCCTGCTCCAGGAACTTGAAGTCGCCGGGTACTTTGTAAGACATGATCTTGGAGGAAAAAGGCAAGGCGGTGAGCAATGTCCGCCCAGGGGATTTGGTCCTTCCTTCCATTTGCTCCTTCAGATTTTGCACCTCTCGAGCCAGTTGAGCCACATCCTCGTCATTTTGCGTGTGGTTCCCGGTGGATTCCGTGCTTTCGTCGAGCATGTTGATCATTGTTACGTCTAGGTCGCTCGGACCGTCGCGCCGGAGTCCTAGTTCTTCTAGTACGAGCTTTCTCTCGGGCAGCCTCTCGATTTTGCGGTCCCTCCGGCACGCGACTAGACTCTCTCTCTCCCAATCGTTCTCTCGCGGATCGGCGTGCGGTGTCTGGACCGAGCCTGGAATGGACTGATCGTACCGGTACACTCTCTTCTCGCCGATCTCCTTGCCTGCCTTCCCTAGATCTTTGGGGCGGTTGTTGATTGCGGGGCGGCGATCGTGAAGCCGACTGCTCTCCCCTTCCCCGGTTTTCTGCAGCGATAGCCCGCCCGAGAGCTCGGATTTGCTCGGGAGTGAACGGTATCATGGATGGCGGCCAATTCAAGAGTGCCGACTCATTTTCTTGACTTTGGACGTTTCGTTGATTCAGCTGCTCTCTCAAGTCGACTTATGGAGCGTTATTGCGGTTATTCGCCTGGCTTCGTCCTTCCGACATGCTGCGAAGCTCTTATCTTTCTGTGATATCATCGTTTGTCTCGTGCACTCGCCTGCTCAGAAAAGCACGCGGCTCTTTGTTTCCATCCCCACAGACGGCGCCAGTGTTGGTTTTTGGGTTTTTGGGCCCAGGGAGGTCCAACACAACCTTGGTTGGTGGATACACCTTTCAATAAAGCTACTAAAAATGGAATGCAATAAGCAGTGGTAGTGAAAGTGTTCCTTTATTCTCTCGGCCTGGACCCGCCTGGTTTACAAGGGTGGAGGAGCCTTTATATAGTAGGCCCTCCTTCAGCCGAGTTAATGTACATTGAAGGCTGCTTTCAAGGCTAATTACACTTTAGGACCGTTGGGTGTCGTTACCGGGCCGGCCAATGGCTCCTTGGGCTTCCCTAACGGTTCGCTTGGTCGAGCCCCTTGAATGCTGCGATGAATGCTTCTCAACGGCTCTAAGCCAAGTCTTCTCTTCAACCTGGGGCTGGGCCGTCTCCTGGACTCGGCCCAGGCCTCTTCCGGGCCTTACTACTGACCCATATTCTCACTTTCTGGGCCGCTACCTACCCGTTCTGGACTCTTCTCCATTCTGGGCCTCTTCTCTTGGGCCCGCCTTCTTGGGCCGGGGTCCTCACCCCATCACCGATTTAAACAAACAAATTTAACATTTATTTACCTATGCATGAACATCTCCTATATAATATTACATTGATATACTTTGAAATACTTATTTAAAAATAATCAAGCGCAAAGCGCGTAAAAAAACTAGTATAATAATACAGTTGAACTTCTATATATTTGACCAAGTATTTATATACTTGTATTCAAGAAATATACATTATTTGAGTATTAAAAATATATTATTTTATATAATGTACATTCAATACTCAATTAATATATTTTTTTTGAAAGGAAATAATTTAATCAATTAATATAGTTTTAATATATTAAAAATATTTTTTTTTTTTTTTGTGATTCACAAAGCACTGTGGTCTACATAATAATTTGCCGGGAAAATTGTAAAAAATACCCCTCTATAATATGCTAATTATCAATGTCACCTCTGAATTATGAGTGGTGTAAATGTTGCCCCTCAATTATCAAAACAGTGCACATATAGCCCCTCCCGCAACGGACATATGGTTCCCCATTAGTGTACGACACCGTTAAGTCGGAGTAAATATGTAATTTAGTTGTTTTTTCCCTCTCTTGATTCGAAGTACCAGTGATGGGCAGTGGTGGGGAACCACAGGTCCGTTACGGGAGGAGCTATATGTGCACCATTTTTATAATTGAGGGGCAACATTTACATCACTCATAATTCAGAGATGACATTGATAATTGGCATATTATAGAGGGGCATTTTTTACAATTTTCCCTTATTTGCCTTAGGCTCAAATGGAAAGGAGAAGCCCAATTCAGTAAACCTCATCTTTATCTCTCCTCTCTTGTAAATGTGTGGTCTGTAACACTCCGTCAAAGCAAAGGTTCAAACGTAGCCAACCCGACCAAAAGTTAAAATATCTCGCACAGAATCTCCCACTTCGCGGTTCTGATTCAATACAAATCAACTGTCAGGGAGTGAGAGAGAGATAGATCGAGAGAGGAGGCATGGCTGCTTGTGTTGTATGGGGAACCACCTTCAAGATTGCCTCGCCGGCTACCGGCGCTGCCAGCGGCGGCGGGTTGTTGTTCTTGCGGAAGTGCCAGACGAAGAGGAATGGGTTCAGGTGTAGTGGTAGAATGAGAAGAGAGCTGATCGTCCGAGCAAATTCTTCAGATTCCGACTGCAATGCGGAGGAATGCGCACCGGAGAAGGAGGTGGGGCAGGTGAGCATGGAGTGGGTAGCCGAGGAAAAAACGAAGGTGGTCGGAACGTTCCCGCCGATGGCCCGGAAGAGCGGCTGGACTGGGTACGTTGAGAAGGACACCGCAGGGCAGACCAACATCTACTCCGTCGAACCCGCGGTGTACGTGGCCGAGACCGCTTTCAGCTCCGGAACCGCGGGTTCCTCTTCCGACGGATCCGACAACAACCTTGCCATCGCCGCCGGCATCGGTCTCATCTCGCTCGCCGCCGCGTCCTCCATTCTCCTCCAAGTCGGGAAGAACACCCCTCCGTCAATCCAGACGGCGACGGAATACTCCGGCCCCTCGCTCAGCTACTACGTCAACAAGTTCAAGGCCGACGAATTGGTCCAAGCTGCCTCCGTCCCAGCAGTGGAAAGCGCTGAAACGTCTCTACAAACGGAGGAAAGCCCCGTTCCGGCGCCAGAAGATTCTCCGGCGGAGGTTGCCGCGGTTCAGCAGCCGGAGAGTACACCGGCATCAAGTTAATTTTGACACTCGTAGTAGGGCAATATATTTAATTTCTCTATTAACGTGAGATTACTAGAAGTTTAATTTGTTTTTGTTGTTTGGAATACAAGTACACATTTAAATTTTGTTTTATTATTATTATGTAATTAATAGAATGAGAAGTGAATTATCCTTGCCGAAAGTTTGGCTACAAAAGGCAGAGATCTTGATTTTGTGTTTTTGTTCATCATCAATAATTAAACTATTTATATTATCCCATAACTGGTTTTGTTGATGCAACTATTGAGAACTGCGGGCCCAAGTTACTGTTGGAGGAGTATTATGGCGGCACATGCAATGGTAATCTCGGGGGTGCGTAGAAGAATTGAAAATGGACAGACAACTTTAATATGGGGACACCCGTGATTACTAGATAACCCTAGCCCCTTGGTTCAAAATGCCAAAAGAGTTAAGGGAAGCACGAGTGGCAGGTTTGATTGGTTTACATCAAATACATTTACAAACAAATACATGGGATCTACATATTTTATCTGACCTGTTTATTCCAGAGGATGTGAGCCTAATAAGTATGATTCCTATTAGCCCTGACTATGATGACTCATGGTACTGGATGGGTGACCCCAAAGGGACGTATACAGTGAAGAACGCTTATAGGCGAATTGTTGTGGAATATGAGAGTAGCCCAACTATGTTTGATAAATGGATCCAGATGTGGAAATTAAAAGTCTCACCCAAGTGGAAGACATTTTTGTGGAGAGCCATATGTGATATTTTACCCACTACCACTAATTTGATTATAAAGAGGATAGATGTGGACCCTATATGCCCAATGTGTGCTTTAGATCATGAAGATGTGTTACATGTTAGATAATAAATTGACTAACACAATCTAAAGTAACGAGTAACCTGACTCGTAGTAGTGGAAGCTTCAGGATCGCCCGAATATCCCCAGCCATAGTCGTTGGTATTGCTACAAGATGGTAAACCTGCAGAATAAAGGTTAGTGTTTTGTCTACCACTTCTCTCCCGAATACCTGATGGTGCGTGTATTCTGAACACGGGAGCTGTGGGAGGACTGTTTTGCTTAGAAGCCTACATGCCATCAACGTAGGCAGATATTCAGTTAAAGCTTAACTGAATATCCTGAGTTGCCTAACAGATTTAATCACTAACTGACTTAATCTTCTACTTGCACCACCACTTAATTAATACAATATATTATACTATATTATATTAGGGAAAACACTTACATTCTCCCACTTGGTGCAAGTACTTGCGCAACCTCCATTAAAGAACAAAACACATGAACCATAGTAATACGTCCTCTACTGATCAAGTGAGTAATATCTTCTATGATCACATGCATTTAAATTCCCTAACTTAGGTTCTTTATGAACAAACCCTACGTTTATTTTTAGTCCCTTAATGGATGTTTCTCAAAATATATTATGTGCACAACTGAATGAAGAAACCATCCATATTCACTGTATGATCTCTAAAATCTTAGAAGCATGCCTTAAGTAGAGATCTCTTAATGTTAGCATAATGCTAACTATATTCTATGACTTCTTTATAAGTTAACATAAACAGTACCTCTAACGGCTAAGAGCTTGGAGTTGACACGTCTGTCACTCCCACTCATTAAGATAGCCAAAAGATAGTCAAGTCATAGAAACATTCCAATAACTTAGACAACAAACCAAAAAAGTCTAAGTCCATAAATTTGGAATCTTAAACATACACCAACTTCCCAAATAATCTCAAGGTCCACCTCGAAATTAACTAATCATTACGAGTCTTTATATGTCTTGCAAAATTGTTTTGAGTCTTACAAACCAAAATGGCCCAGGATCAATTTTGAAGAAACTAAAGACTATATTGACTGCTAAAGAATTTATTAATTGGCAGTGCACCACAAGTTAAATGCTTTCGTTCTAATAAATCCCTTAATATTGTTACAACATTTTCATAAATATGTTGTACAACTAGACGTTCAGTGAAATGAACTTATGAATTATAAGAACAAAAAACTAAATTAATGCTTGTGGAAACTTTTGGACTTATTGCTAGATGCACAATCCAATTTGGAATGTATGAAAACAATTAAATCCATCAGCTTTAGTGGAGTATTTTAATGATCTTTTTCTAAATGATCACTCCCACTGATTAAGATATTCTTTAGCCAAATTAATGATATAACACTCATAATTGATTTGACCAACTAAATAATGAAGATATGATTCCCCACCATTAGTTGGGCATACTAAATAATCAATATTTGGTTCCAATTATAGTCCAACTAAATGAATAATTAATGAGGACATGATTCTCCACCATAATTGGACATACTAAACTAATAAAATACGCCTTCCAAAACCAAGTTGGAATCTGGCTCAAAAGGATACATTTTATTATTGGAATCCAAAAGAGGTATATCATACCACGCAACTTACTATAGTTAGTCCAAATAACCAAGTAAGCTTCGTGAAAAATAATTAATAAAAGGTGTATCTAAATTTTGGGAAGTGACTAAATACATGTTTTGCCAATGCAAACCATGAAACTTAGAATTATATTTGAACTAAATTTATAAATTCTAAGAAATTGAGATAAAGTTATTATCTAATGGGTTGATGAATTTATTGACATAAAACTTGCCAGTGGGCTAAAGTTTTAAATCTATTAAATTTAATTAAACACTTATGATAGTATTTTATCTCAATTACTAAATAGTCAGAAGAATCAAGTGACATAAAACTTGCCTGTGGACTAAAGTTCTACTCAATTTGATCCAACTGAAATTTTATGATGAAACAATTATCAAATGAGTTGAAGAATCTAGTGACATAAAACTTGCCTGTGGGCTAAAGTTTTAATTCAATTAGATAAATTACAACCATTATGACAAAACTTAAGAGACCATGTTCCTTTTCTTAATCCCTGTGGGCAAATTAAGAAATATGATCTAAAGTTTACATCATAACTTTATGATAGAGAAGGGAATTATTCATTAAGTAAATAAAATTCTTTATTCCTATCATTACTGATAAAACTACTAAACTATATTCCGATACATAATTGCCTGTGGGCTAAATTATGATCATAGTTCAATATTTCATCCTAATTAATCATACAAATATAACGAAATTGCATGTGGGCTAAATTCCATCATATTACATACAATTAATCACAATTGATATGTCTAAAACTTTATGTGACCCTAACAACTCAATATATAATTTTAACTGATTAAGGATGCTGTGGCTACTCCCCAACTAATTAAAATTATAAGATCACTAGACATTTATCATTGCCATCTTTATGTGATTTGGACTTTAGACAATTTTTAGTAAATCAAAGATGTTGTGGCTACTCTTTAATTAATCTAGAAATTGTAATCACTCGGCAAAAGGGGAATTTAAAGCCTAACAAACAAATTAAACCAACACATGATAAACAATTATTTAGGTATATTCTCAGGAAAGTTGGTCGAGACGAAGCTCGTTTAAATACCAACTCCTTAGACAGAGTACGTCGCAAGGGGACTAGTAACAACAAGGCTTTTAAGCCAGGGCTATAGAACTAGTATTCCTCCCCAAGAAACTTCCCTAAGTCATGCGTTCTCATGTTTGAAGTAAAACCGTTTGGGAGATCTATAAAATTGTAGATTCACCTATGGATAAGGCTTTAAATCAATGAACTAAATTAACGGACTAAACGTCCTTAAATTTAGGCACTACCGCAACTAAAGTTTATGCATAGGTCCAACTTAATAAGGAACTAATATAACTCCATCCTAAAGTATGCATTTCTAAAGGCATAATAAAATTGCATAATTTAAAAAAAAAAAAAAAAAAACAGAATATTATGCGGTGGACAAGTATGCATAAAATCAAATATTAAACTCATATATTCTAAATAAATTGCATAAACCAAAACAATTTTAAATATGAGCAATAACCTTAAAGTATACAATTAATATTCAAAACTAATATGATTTCTAACCAAAAGAAATCCAAAATTTGAATAATAATGCAATAGATATATACTTTGAAAGGTTAAAAACTATAAGCCCACGTGAAAAAGTTTTAATTGCATAAAATCAAATTTGTGAGGAACAGGCTGAAGTCACAAATATCAAGCCATAGTATATGTTTTATTCGTGAATAAAAAAATTCACGAATCCTAATTGCATAATAAACTTAATATTATACACTTAATGTGATTAAAAGCATAAAACAATCTAAAGAGTATGAAAAACACCAAATGTGTATTCAATTATTCATACTTAACTAAATGTGGGCAATAACATCTAAAATCATAATTCAAATACTAAATAAATTATGTGATAGATTGCCTAGAAAACATGTTTTTCCAAAATTTGAATTGATTTAAAAGCACTCTTCAAAACTCAATTAATAGTATTATTAATGGCAAAAATTGCAAATAAACCAAAAAAGCAATAAATAGTCATTAATAATATTATTATATTAATTTGGAGACTAAATATGAAAAAACAATAGCTAAAACCGTTAACCTTTAAGACATTTCCGGATATAGCTTTAAAATTTAATAAAACTTAAGTCCGAAAATAAATGCCACATAAATCACTTTGAAAATTCATGACATAATACCATAAAAATGATGTTATCATTAATTAAAATATTGATAGTAATAAGGAGTATTATAATCACCATTAACATTTAATAATGACAAACATAGTAATCTTAATGCCTCCATATTCTGAAGGAGTGACTATTTCAAAATGGTTAACAGTTATAACAGTAGTTACCAATAATAATAAACTGTAAACTGTAATTAATGATTTACGTACCGTAATGATTCAAACCGCATCTATCAATAGCACTAACCTCGATAGCGAAGAAAACCTCCAAAATCTCCCACCTTCGTGGAGAGTTTAGTTGACTCGTCGATGCTAGTAATATCAATGAATCGCCCAATGGTACGTAACAGTTCATTGGTAACACTTAATTACCATTATTAATAATAATGGAAAAATGAAGTGACATGGATAATCTTACCAATGTGCCAAATATAGTAAATTACCATGAATGAATAATTATTACGAAATGTAATAAATGAGATTAGCCTCTCAACTTAATAACAGTGATTAATAATGCAAATTAATTACAATAAATGCAAAACTGTAATTGAGGGATGCCAAATACTAATCTCAATTTACCACCTAATAATTAACCATGAGTAAGGAGACTAAAATTAAGGTATAACCAGATTACCAATGTAAAGGCAATCAACTTAATATTATTGTTAAGGCCCTGAAAATTATTAATAGATGAAAAAACACAATCAACTTAAATAATAGTTATAATTCTTAATGGCCAAAAACAATAATTATAATTCTTAATGGCTTCAAATGGTAATTGTAATCCTTAAACACTTAATGACTCAAAATCAAGCAAAGATAATAATTATAGCACCAAATTGCTTAAGTCAGGCCCATGAACCTTAATGCCCATGAACCTTAGTGCCTAAGTTAATTATAACATGAATAATAAATGGTCTAGTGTTGAAATAGATCCAAACTTTATATTATTACCAACGATAAATACCGTTAACAAAATACGGTAGTTAGTAATAATTAAAACTTAATAAACATGTTATAATCAAATTAAAAAAATGCTACAATTATTATTAACATATCAATCAAAGAGGTGGAATCCATATTTTAATGACCCAGATAGGTCCTAAATAGCTTGTTCAAAATAGGTTTTAAAGTCCCAAGTGACAAATAGGACTAAAATATGCTCAAAATTAAATGAGAAACCAAACAAGCCGTCTTAATAGGCTATAATGTCCAAAATTAGCCTAAGGATCCAAAATTGAAGGATATTTAATATATAGGCCATGAGTTAATAATATGCTATATCCAACCTTAATATATGATTTTCTAAATGTACAATTATAATAAAATAATTTATGAATATACAAAGCATGCTTTGGATTTTGTATATTAATATATTATTAACTCATAAATACTAAATAAATTGCAATAATTCAAGCAATTTAATATGCACATCAATATTAAATTAAAATTCAAGTAGCAAATTTAATACTTAATATTTGCTCAAAATTGAATAATAATTTAATTGTGAATATAATTCATAAATTGAGAGAAAACTAAAAGGCATTAATACAACTCTCAATATTAAATTAAAATTCAAATAGCAAATCAAAACTTACTATTTGCTCAAAAATGAATAATAATTTAATTGTGACATGAATGGCGGTAATTGAACTAATAACGACAACAATTCAATCACAAATAATGCCACAATTAATCTAAATTTGAAAATTTTAATGTCAAAATTTAAAGAATAACTAAAGGGCATTATTATTTCAAAATTAAACAATTACTAATATTTATCATTTGTCAAACCAATTTACGATATTAATTAAGATAATAATATTAATATGGTAATATTAAATCTTAATATAATTACCATTTATCAAAATTAATATGTAATTCTTAAATGAGACAAATATTAATATATGGTAAATAAAAGAAATCGCACTTTATAATAGAAGGCGTACCAGGAAGATCGCTACCAATAATCATCTTCTCTCTGTTCCGTCGATTTCCACGGAAGACACTGTTGATTTCTCCATCAATGCCATACGTAGCTTAGGCGAAGAAGTCGCCACCCCAAAAGCGTCCCACGACGCTGCTGCTACGCATTGGAAGTGGAAGAGATACCGGCGACCATCCTTTAATGCCGCCAACCATCTACCTCCAGGTAGCCGTCCGACGCTGCCTCGATGAAGATAGAGACCAGCAACGACGCCACTGAAGTAAGAGGTCTGATGCAGCGACGGCCGGAACCAGTGCTGCCTCTGCCGTATCTTCTTCAATTTGCGAAACGAGAGCAGGGCTGCCGCTCCTCGTCTCCCACCTGCGGCAAGGTCGACGGGGTGACTATGTGGATCCTCAACGGCGACACCACCATGTTCTTCGCGCGGCTGGAATGGTACTCCTGCATCCACATCGCCACTCACAAGGACGACGCCAATGACCAACGCCGGATGCAATCAAAACAGCAGTGTTTCCGGCTGGAACGGTTGACGCTGTACTTAGCTCCGCAGCCACCCCACGGTGCTGCTTAATCCCACGCAGAAGGCTTTGCCGAAAAAAAAAAATAAAAACCAAAAAAAAAATGAAAAACAGCCCAGCAGTACATATTTCCCAAAAAAAAAAAATAGAGTAAATACCCAAAATGGTCCCTCGAGTATAGCTAAATTCACAAATTGGTTCTTAACTTTTGATTTCGACCAATTAAGTCCTTAACTTTTCAATTTTAACACAATTTCGTCCTCCGTTAGTGTTAGCGTTTAATAGCCGTGAAATCCAAGGACAGAGGTGTAATTTTACATGGTTCTTGCATTCTCCCTTCACCTGTTTGCTAAGTAAATCCGGACTGCCCCCATTTCCCTAGATCAATGACCATCACTCCAGTGCTGAAGTAACACGGGGATTCCGTCCGCCGAACGTGCCGGAAAATATCTTCTTTGACCAGAAATTTAGAGGGTTTGGCTGGTTTTGGGAAGGCTTCGAGGTCGCTCGTCAATGATCGGAGGTCTTCTACGCAGTCTGAGAATCTGATCGCCCCATCGTCAATGGAGGCGTTGCCGCTGTCCCAGCCGATGCATGGAGGTTCTGAAGGTTTGTCTGGTGTTGGGGATGTGCAGAGACCACCCGTCGCTATTACGATTGTTGATCGGCGACATTCGGAATTTCCGGGAGTTAATGCCCAATCGGTCACCGCCTGGCGAGCAGATGAGGTGAGCAAAGGGGGGACTGGTGGCGGTGGTCTCGGAGTGGCTATAAAGGAGGTTGTGACTCTGCCAGGTAAGGAGTCCCATCCTAAACACCATTCTGCTGGTAATTTGGTTCATAGAAATGTGTTGCAAAATCCTCTAAGTGTTGGTGGAGGGACCGTGGTTCAAAATGGTCTTAGTGTTAATGGTAATGCTAGTTTGGTGCAAGCCCCCATTTCTGTGGCTTTTTCCAGTGTTAGTGTAGCTAATGCTAGTGTTAGGGCAAAAAATTAAATAATGCTCATACTGTTGGTGGTCTGCCTATTGGGGGTGGTATTTCTGCTACTGTTGGTGGTGCATTAAATGACCCTAATGGTAGCATTAGCCATGTTTCAAATAATGTCCAGAATGCTAACAATCAGAACTACACTTGCCAGCATTGCGAAATAGGGGAGCTTTGCGGAAGGAGAAGCGATTGAGGGAAGCGCTGGAAGCAAATGGAATGTAGGAATCGACGTTAGAGGATCTTATAGCTTCGGTGGGAGGGAATGATTGCAGCGATGGGGAGTGTAGCAAGTGAAGGGAGAATGCAAAAATTATGTGAAATTACAACTCTGTCCTTGAGTTTCACGGCAATTAAACGGTGACATTAACGGAGGACAAAATTGTGTTAAAATTAAAAAGTTAAGGACTTAATTAGTTGAAATCAAAAGTTGAGGACCAATTTGGGAATTTAGCTATACTCGAGGGACTATTTTGGGTATTTACTCAAAAAAATATACACTGTAATATGCTAGACAAACATGGAATTTCGTAAAGTTGTTTTTCCAGGAAACAAAAGAACAAATATATTTTTCAAAATATATATTTGGCACTAATTAATCAACCAGGCAGGAATTAACTTGGCTTTGATACCAAATGTTAGATAATAAATTGACTAACACAATCTAAAGTTGGTTTTGATACCAAATGTTAGATAATAAATTGACTAACACAATCTAAAGTAACGAGTAACCTAACTCGTAGTAGCGGAAGCTTCAGGATCGCCCGAATATCCCCAGCCATAGTCGTTGGTATTGCCACAAGATGGTAAACCTGCAGAATAAAGGTTAGTGTTTTGTCTACCACTTCTCTCCCGAATACCTGATGGTGCGTGTATTCTGAACACGGGAGCTGTGGGAGGACTGTTTTGCTTAGAAGCCTACCAACACGCTCAGATGTTATGTGGATGCGGGTTTTCGCCAGGACACTGGGGAGGCCAGTACGGTATTATACTGATCTCGCCAGAGGGTTCTTTCGTAGCGGCAAAAAATGACAAATTGCCCGTTTGTTTTTCACCGTTTATGGCAGAGGCACAGGCATATAAGGAGGCACTATCCTGGCTACTGGAAAGGAATAACAAATCAGGCAGTCTACTTACGGATTGCATGGTACTACGAACGACTATGCGGCAGCAGGACTCACCAATACATTCGTATGTTGGGGTCACAATAGATCAGTGTAAAACACTTATGTCTCTGTTTAGTTATATTTCGTTGGATTATGTCTCTAGACATGTTAATTTACATGCTCATACTTTAGCTTCCTTAGCTTTCATTCAGGATCATGCTATGTACTGGGATTCTATCCCCCTGACGCTATTATAGCTTTGATTCATTAATACAATCTGTGGATTGGTTTTCAAAAAAAAAAACTATTTATATGGACATTTATGCTAAGAGTTGATCAAGAATTGAACATAAATGAATTATTTTGGAAAACAAGAGCTTTTACTTAGCAATATGACATTAAATAAAGGGAAAATCGCACTTTTGGTCCCTCAATTGTTTCCTGATCTGCAATGTGGTCCCTCAATGTCAATTTTAGTCAATTGGGTCCTCCAGTTCTTTAAATCGTTGTCAATTTGCCCCTCCGGTCAAATTTCACATGGACCATGGTTAAAAGCGTGGATAGAATGGTAATTTCCAATACCCTTTAACCCCTTTCCTTATTTCCACCGAATTAACCCCAATTCACTTACCATTTCTGCCATAACCAATACCCGTTTCTTACTCCCATTCCGCGAATTATCCCTGATTCACGTACCAATTCTCCCAAAATCTATGAAGACGACGAAGTTCATATTGCACGGCCATGTCTTCAAACAGTTTGTGCGACTCAGTTGAATGGATTCCAGAAGTTCGTTGTTGGTGCGGCGAAATCGCTCCGGTAAGGATGTCCTGGAGTTATGCCAACCCTGGAAAGCGATTTAGATCATGCCCACGCTATGGAGTACGTGTAAGCATCATAAACGAATCTTGAGCTGTTCTTAGGTGTTAGAGTATTTAATTTGGCTTTGTTTATTGATTTTGATTGGCAGGGGAATGGGCACTGTAGCTATTTTCAATGGTTGGACTCCGATGTCGCTGACCATGTGTCTAAAGTGATTCGAGGTTTATTGAAGAGGTTAGATAAGCAAGAGAGTGAAATGCAAAGGCTTCAAGTAGTGATTGATGAGAAAACTGTCCAGCTTAAGAAGAAGACTCTGACTTCAAAATTTCAATTTTTGTATGGTTTTGGATTTGGAATTGTGGTTGGTTTTCTTTGTTTTAGGCTTTGGATGACAAGTGTTGATCCAAGTGAAAAGCTTCTACAATTGGCTTAGGAATTTTAATGCGTAATGTTTGTAAAAACTTGGGAATTTTAATGCTTATGAACTCTATTGTCAGTTTGGATTATTGAATTAATGCAAGTTATGTAATCTATTGTCTGTTTGGATTATTGAATTAATGCAAGTTATGTAATCTATTGTCTGTTTGGATTATTGAATTAATGCATGTTATGTACAGTGGCTGGAAGGTAAATGACCAAATGAGTACATAATAGGTGAGCATAGTGGCTGGAAGTTAGATGATAGATTCATTGCTAATACTGAAATGACCATTGGCTTGGAGTTAAATAACCAAATGTGCTGAGTAGTCTATTTCAAAGGGGCTCACTGTTAAACTGCTAGCATAATAGAGTCATAATAGATTCTTTTTGAGCTTTATGGCCATTCTTTTCTTTATTTTGAACCACATTACAAGCCTTTTATATCTAAAAATAATGCCTTCACCCAGCTGAATAACTAGTGGAGCAAATTTTGAATTATTCGTGTAATCTACGTGAGGTTGTGAGGAAGAAGTGTGGGGGAGGTCACTTTCTTGTGTTAATATGATGGAGAATGAGGTAGGTTGTATCTTCATTGCCGATTTGTCACTGGTCTTCTATGAAAAAGAAAATGAAGACAATTCATGATTCCAAAAAATATGGAAATTGAAAAATTGAAAAAATGAAAAAAATGGAGAATATATGTTTGAAAAAGAAAAATATTGCTGAAAATTTATGAGAAAATGAGAAAGAATCAGCAATTGATTTTGAGTTGAAGTTACTTCTAAATAAATGAAGAAAGGGGAAATTCTGGTAATACTGAGGAAGCATTCTATACTTGGTGTTGAGCAAGTATCTTGGATTATTTGTATTTATTTACTCCTCTAGTTTGAAAGCTTTTGTTTAAGCTACTTTCCTAAATATTCCCTACCTTAACCCTAGCCCCATTACAACCTGTGAAAAGTCCTTATGATTTGTGTCATGCATGACTCTTGTAGTGGTGATTGAAAAGATATGCAAGCCTATGGTAGAGCAATTTTATAGGAATGAACTTGAGCGAAATCTATACCGATCAAACACTTGAGTGATGAGTGATATTCCTGTGAGGGCTTACTTATTTAGTTTTCTTCATTTTCAACTAGGAATGCTAACTTATTAATTGCAGGGTGCTTCAGATTGTTGCTCATGAAGTGTTATGAATTTTTGGAATTTCATTTCAATTTACTTCGCAAACAATATGTTTGCTTGGGGACAAGCAAATGTTTTAGTGTGGGGGAATTTGATAGGCATATTTTACACTCATATTTTAGGTACATCTTTATAATAATTTTGCATTAGTTATTTATAAATATTTAATAATTATTTCTTTTTAGAGTTTAGTAAGAAAATTAGTTAAACAAGTATTATAATAATATTTAGTTAATAATTTAAGTTTTGAACCCAAATATTTTTAGCCCAATTCCTTTCTTTTATTTTAAGCTTAAAGTCCATTATATTATATGGTGGCCCAATTAAGTCTTAGAATGCAAAGTTGAAGACAAAATAAATAAAATAATTGTTTGTTTCTTATTTTCATTGTGCAGAACGGCGAAGAAGGAATTATTCAATTGCTACGTAAATTTCGACCTCAATTTGTGAGGCATTGTCGGAAGGCCTGATCGTGCGACACCAAAATAGGAAATTGGATGGTTAGAAAATGATTGGAGTTCATATTGGAAATAGTATAAATAGATGGTAGCAATAGCATTGTAAAACGTTCATTCTTCCCCTCTCGATTATTCTGTAAAGCTGTTATCAATGTCCATTCATTGCTAATTTCTTTAGCTTGGTTTAGTGAATTGAAGCTCCGGAATTGATTATGCTGTAAGATTATTTATTTATTTTTATTATATAATTTTTATGCATTTGGGTATTAAATATTCTTCTAAGTTATTTGAATAGTTGTATCATTTAATTGCTAGGGAGGCCTACTAGTTATTTACTTGATATAATTATTTGCTATATTAGATAATGTTGTGCTACAAATTATTCTAATATTCAGTAGCAACTGGGTTAATTATTGACGGCTTAGTGATAATTGGACTCGGGTAGAATATTTTCCTAAATTAAATGCAACCGCTTGTGCTTGTGTTATTTAGTTTGTCGGTTTTCCTAGTTCCTATTGCTGCTATTAAATTAAATCTATAGCGCTTGTCTTAGGTTATTTAATAGTTAGGGGTAATTAAACCGCGTGTGCTTTAGTTACCTACAACTAAGGGAAAACGGAAATGAAATAATTTCACGACAAATATTCAATTGCATATTAATTGCTTTATGAATCAATGATCAGTGTTATATTCCGGTGGTGGATCTTTACTAACCAAGGTTTTCTATTCTGAGTGTTTTCAATATATTGTTTTCATTGCTTTATTCGTTCAATTAAATTTCTTGTTTATTCAAATTCTCTTTTATTTTATCTTTATTCTCGATATATTCCAAACCCCCCTACCTTTAATTTGAGCACAAAAGTTAAACTAGTTACTCCTCGTGGGATCGATCCTTACTCCCGCTACTACGTTTGTAAGGTTTTAATTTGGGAGCCTACGACAGCTCGCCAAATTTTGGCGCCGTTGCCGGGGAGATTTTCTTGTTTATTTTGTGTTTATTTAATTATTTATTTGTTTATTTGTTTTTCTCGTTAATTTGTCCCATAAAAATTTTTTTTAAAAAAATCTTTTCTTTCGTTACTTTTACATAATTGCTGCAATATATTTTCTTTTTGTTTATGCCCATAACTCGATCTGCTAACAAAGAAGTCCTGCCATACAATCCAGAAATTGAATGAACTGTACGCAGGTGGAGGAAACAAGTTTTGAGGAAATTGGAGTTTAGTGATCTGGCTACCGATTCTACCAATTCTGATTTAGAAGAGGAACCCATGACTCAAAATCGGACTTTAAAAGAGCTTGGAGCTCCAAATTTAGATCAGCAACCTTTATGCATCACGTTTCCTGCTCTAGGTGCCAATGTACAATTTGAATTAAAATCTGGATTAATTCATCTTTTGCCTTCTTTTCATGGACTTGCAGGTGAAGATCCTCACAAACACTTAAAGGAATTCCATGTGGTGTGTTCAAGTATGAAACCCACAGGGGTTACTGAAGAACAAATCAAGTTGAGAGCCTTCCCATTTTCTTTGAAAGATTCAGCGAAGGATTGGCTATATTATTTACCCTCCGGAAGCGTCACCACATGGAATAACTTAAAGACACTATTCCTTGAAAAATATTTCCCAGCTTCAAGGGCGGCCAACATTAGAAAGGAAATCTGTGGTATAAGGCAAAACAATGGAGAGTCATTGTATGAATATTGGGAGCGTTTCAAAAAGTTATGTGCAAGCTGCCCACACCATCAAATCAGTGATCAATTACTCATTCAATACTTTTATGAAGGACTTTTTCCGACTGATAGGAACATGATTGATGCCGCGAGCGGTGGTGCTTTAGTTGACAAGACATCAGACGCTGCAAGAACTCTAATTGCGAACATGGCTGCAAATTCTCAACAGTTTGGCAATAGAATAGTCCAACCGTCTAAGCATGTGAATGAGGTAAATATTTCTGTTCTTGAACAACAAATTTCTGGTTTAACTACTCTTGTCCGTCAATTAGCAGTAGGCAATATGCAAACTGTAAAAGCATGTGGAATTTGCTCGGTAGTTGGGCACCAAACTGATACCTGCCCAACTCTTCAAGAAGAACATATTGAACAAGTCAACATGGCTGGAGGTTTTCCTGGACAACCTCAAGGTAAGTATGATCCGTTTTCCAATACATATAATCCTGGATGGAGGGATCACCCAAACCTTAGCTATGGGAACTCACAAGGGAACCAGTTTGTTCAGAATCGTTCCAATTTTCAGCAGTACAGACAACCATTTCCTTCAAGACAACAACCAACCCAAAACTTTAGCTCAGGTACGAATATAGAAGATATTGTTAAATCTCTTGCTACTAACACTTTGCAGTTTCAACAAGAAACACAACTATTCCAACAAGAGACAAGAGCTAGTATTCAAGAAACAAAGGCTAGTATTCAAAACTTGGAAAGACAAATGGGCCAACTTGCAACTACGGTTAGTCGGTTGGAAGCACAGAGTTCTGGCAAACTACCCTCTCAAACAGTTGTTAATCCTAAAGAGAATGTAAGTGCAATTAATGTTGAAAGTATGTCGCTGGAAAAGAATGTTGCTTCAAATAAGGAAATAAGTGCAGGAATCATTGCCAACAATAAAGAGAAGTCCCAAGGTAAGCTTTCTTCTTTTTCTGATTATGAACCAGTACCCCCATTTCCTCAAGCTCTTTTAGAACCAATAAGAGGAAACTCAAATAATGATCTGTATGAGACCTTTCGTGAATGTGATGCTAATAAACCACTTTTAGATTCTATAGAAAAAGTACCTCGCTATGCAAATTTTCTAAAAGAGGTACACACTATGAAAAAGAAACGAAATAATGAAAGAATTAAGAAAGTGAAAGTGCAAGAGAATGTCTCTATGGCTAGTCAAAGCGATCTTCCTGAAAAGTGCAAAGACCCAGGTATGTTTACTATTCCATGCATGATAAGTGGGGTGAAATTTGAAAATGCTATGTTAGATTTAGGAGCTTCTATTAATGTCATGCCATATTCTGTTTATGCTTCTTTGAATCTTGGACCCCTGAATAAATCTAGTATAATAATTCAATTGGCTGATGGATCTACTACATATCCTAGGGGTGTGATTGAGGATTTGATTGTTGAAGTTGATAACTTGGTTTTTCCTGCTGATTTTTATGTGCTTGATATGAAAAATAATAATCATATTTTGTTAGGAAGGCCATTCTTAAAAACTGCAAAAACAAATATTGATATTCATAGTGGTATGCTTACTATGGAGTCTAATGGTAAACTTGTGACTTTTAATATTTATGATACCATGAAATCTCCTAGTGATGATAATCTTGCAATTTTTGTTGATTCTGTGAACTTTGTTACATTTGATGAAATTGCTTCGAATGAAAAAGAAAGAAATAATAACATCTTTGAGTACTAATCTGCATGAAGGGGCTGTTTCTTTGAATATTCATAATCATCGAAGGTACTCAAAAAGACGATGGAAATTTAAAGAAATATCATAATTCGAGCCAACGACGATAAACAAAGGCGCTGTTTGGGAGGTAACCTAAGGTGTGTTCATTCCATTTTTTTTATTCCATATTCTCATTCAATAACCCTTTTTCTGTGCTTTTTTATTCAACATTGAGGACACTGTTGATAATAAGTGTGGGGGGAGAGAATTTAGTTTTATTATTTGTTTGCTTATGTCAAAATTTTCAAAAAACATTTCACAAATATTTTACTAGTATTTTATGCAAAATAAGTATTATTTTGAAAAAAAAATTATTACACTTTTTTTCCTTCTTGGAATTCATAACATGATTGAATAAATAGTTTGGCAAGTTGTGATTAGTTTGTTAGCATTTCCTGTTTGATATGTAGTGGCTATATTAAGTAAGCAATAAACATGTGAGTGTTTTGAGCCATTGACTGACACTTCGGTCTTATTTTGTTTCTATTGTGCGATTTCTTCCATAATTTTGTTTCTCTAGAACTTGCATTGATTCTCTTTTAAAGCTAATTAGACCATGCATGATTCAAGTGTGATTAAGGCCATTATTTGATCTTGAGCCTCACTAGCCAAATAACCGGTTTGTCCTATGATTTATTCCCCCTTGTTAACCATTTTGAGCTTTATGGCCATTCTTTTCTTTATTTTGAACCACATTACAAGCCTTTTATATCTAAAAATAATGCCTTCACCCAGCTGAATAACTAGTGGAGCAAATTTTGAATTATTCGTGTAATCTACGTGAGGTTGTGAGGAAGAAGTGTGGGGGAGGTCACTTTCTTGTGTTAATATGATGGAGAATGAGGTAGGTTGTATCTTCATTGCCGATTTGTCACTGGTCTTCTATGAAAAAGAAAATGAAGACAATTCATGATTCCAAAAAATATGGAAATTGAAAAATTGAAAAAATGAAAAAAATGGAGAATATATGTTTGAAAAAGAAAAATATTGCTGAAAATTTATGAGAAAATGAGAAAGAATCAGCAATTGATTTTGAGTTGAAGTTACTTCTAAATAAATGAAGAAAGGGGAAATTCTGGTAATACTGAGGAAGCATTCTATACTTGGTGTTGAGCAAGTATCTTGGATTATTTGTATTTATTTACTCCTCTAGTTTGAAAGCTTTTGTTTAAGCTACTTTCCTAAATATTCCCTACCTTAACCCTAGCCCCATTACAACCTGTGAAAAGTCCTTATGATTTGTGTCATGCATGACTCTTGTAGTGGTGATTGAAAAGATATGCAAGCCTATGGTAGAGCAATTTTATAGGAATGAACTTGAGCGAAATCTATACCGATCAAACACTTGAGTGATGAGTGATATTCCTGTGAGGGCTTACTTATTTAGTTTTCTTCATTTTCAACTAGGAATGCTAACTTATTAATTGCAGGGTGCTTCAGATTGTTGCTCATGAAGTGTTATGAATTTTTGGAATTTCATTTCAATTTACTTCACAAATAATATGTTTGCTTGGGGACAAGCAAATGTTTTAGTGTGGGGGAATTTGATAGGCATATTTTACACTCATATTTTAGGTACATCTTTATAATAATTTTGCATTAGTTATTTATAAATATTTAATAATTATTTCTTTTTAGAGTTTAGTAAGAAAATTAGTTAAACAAGTATTATAATAATATTTAGTTAATAATTTAAGTTTTGAACCCAAATATTTTTAGCCCAATTCCTTTCTTTTATTTTAAGCTTAAAGTCCATTATATTATATGGTGGCCCAATTAAGTCTTAGAATGCAAAGTTGAAGACAAAATAAATAAAATAATTGTTTGTTTCTTATTTTCATTGTGCAGAACGCCGAAGAAGGAATTATTCAATTGCTACGTAAATTTCGACCTCAATTTGTGAGGCATTGTCGGAAGGCCTGATCGTGCGACACCAAAATAGGAAATTGGATGGTTAGAAAATGATTGGAGTTCATATTGGAAATAGTATAAATAGATGGTAGCAATAGCATTGTAAAACGTTCATTCTTCCCCTCTCGATTATTCTGTAAAGCTGTTATCAATGTCCATTCATTGCTAATTTCTTTAGCTTGGTTTAGTGAATTGAAGCTCCGGAATTGATTATGCTGTAAGATTATTTATTTATTTTTATTATATAATTTTTATGCATTTGGGTATTAAATATTCTTCTAAGTTATTTGAATAGTTGTATCATTTAATTGCTAGGGAGGCCTACTAGTTATTTACTTGATATAATTATTTGCTATATTAGATAATGTTGTGCTACAAATTATTCTAATATTCAGTAGCAACTGGGTTAATTATTGACGGCTTAGTGATAATTGGACTCGGGTAGAATATTTTCCTAAATTAAATGCAACCGCTTGTGCTTGTGTTATTTAGTTTGTCGGTTTTCCTAGTTCCTATTGCTGCTATTAAATTAAATCTATAGCGCTTGTCTTAGGTTATTTAATAGTTAGGGGTAATTAAACCGCGTGTGCTTTAGTTACCTACAACTAAGGGAAAACGGAAATGAAATAATTTCACGACAAATATTCAATTGCATATTAATTGCTTTATGAATCAATGATCAGTGTTATATTCCGATGGTGGATCTTTACTAACCAAGGTTTTCTATTCTGAGTGTTTTCAATATATTGTTTTCATTGCTTTATTCGTTCAATTAAATTTCTTGTTTATTTAAATTCTCTTTTATTTTATCTTTATTCTCGATATATTCCAAACCCCCTACCTTTAATTTGAGCACAACAGTTAAACTAGTTACTCCTCGTGGGATCGATCCTTACTCCCGCTACTACGTTTGTAAGGTTTTAATTTGGGAGCCTACGACAGCTCGCCACTGCCCTTCAACATCACCTTGCTCTTCAAACTGCCCTTCAACATCAACATGCTGATCAATCTCTTCAACTCTTTCAGATGCCTATAAGATGATAATATTAGTTTCAACAGTCAATTAATAACACAGAAATTTAAACTCAAGTAATAACACAACCTGTGGAGTTTTAGCCTTGCAAGTAGTTTTATTATGCCCTGTCAGTCCACACACTCTGCATCTCTTCACCTCCCCTAGTTTCTTTGTTCTGACTTGACTATTCTGTTGCTTGCTCTCTTGAATTGAATCTATCTTTCTCTTTTTTTTAGGCCTACCAGGTTGTGCCTTATACTTTGGGGGAATTGGTGCTGGAAGATCTGATTTAACCCATAAATCTGAAGACTGAATGGGAAGTATTGCAGGTTCATAAGCTGTCAAATAAGTCTCAACTGTATAACATTGATGCACATAATCTTCAGGGCTTTCTCTTTGTTTCCTTATAGCTGCTACACCATGACTGCAAGGAATGCCAGTCAGATCCCATCCTCTACAGCTGCACTGTCTTTGGGATAAATCCACCTTGAAGGTCTTGAAATTCTGATCATCAACTTGGTATATATTATCATGTGACTTATAAGTACTATACCTAGCTGACATATCTTTTGCATCTTCTAGACACTTTCTGATTTTGGGACAGATTTTATGTTGATAAGTTTTCATTTTGTCTCTATTCTTTTGCATTCTAGTCATTAGATAAATCCTTATCTTATCAACCATGGTTAGGATAGGCTTGTCCCTCAAACTCAAAATAGTGCTATTCCAGGACTCACACAAATTATTCAAAAGCATATCACACTTTGGAAAAGTGCTAAAAAATGCCCTACAGTAATGCCTAGGATCTCTGGCAGCCAACCACTCAGCAGCTTTGTCATTTTCTTCCTTTAATTCCTCCATATACCTTTTAAAATCTGCCTCAGTTGTAGCTTTACACACAGCCCACAATTTTAACTTCAGAACATTTCCAGTAAAGCCATCCTTCAGAAAATTGGCATGCATATGCCTTACACAGAACCTTTGCTCCAATCCAGTAAACAATTCTTCAACAGCTGGTAACAGACCTTTTTGTTTATCTGATATTATAGTCCAGGCATGAGGATTACTTCCTATGTTCAAATCATTGTCCAGCAGTTTTAAAAACCATGTCCAACTTTCCTTTAATTCTCCCTCAACAACAGCAAAGGCTATAGGAAACATGCAATTATCTCCATCAAGACCAATAGCACTTAACAGTTGCCCTCTCTTCTGACTACCCTTCAAATGGCATCCATCCAACCCAAAAATAGGTCTACATCCTCTTAGAAATCCTTCTTTGCAAGCTGCAAAGCAAACATACAATCTAAGAAACCTAGGTTTGCCATTAACACTAAACTGACTATCAAGCTTCATCTTGACAGTACTCCCAGGATTACTTCTCTTTAATTCATCACAATAAAGCATGAATTTAAATTCAGTGTCAATTTTACAGTTTTGCAGTCAAAAATTGGATGAGCTATTCACAGTACAATAAAGACACAACCAGTGCACTACCTATGGTCCCCATGTGGCTACAACAAAGTAACCAACAACAACTGGTCCCCACTAAGCAATAACTCTGAAACCCAACCCAGTGCACATGTCAAAAATATACATACAACCCTACTTCAAGTTCCCCGTACATGCGATTTTCCCTTTATTTAAGTAGAACTGGTCCCCACTAATCCCAGAACCCAACACATTGCACATGTTAGACACACAAGACAAACTTTATCTTTTCAACTGCACAAGAATAAATAAAGCATAGGATAGCTCAGATACTTACACGTAGGAGTTGAATTGGACCCATTTATCCTCCGACTAGTCATGCTTGTGCTCGTCCTCGTCGTCCTCTTCGCAGCTGTAGTATTTGGGAGTTAAATGTCTAATTCGCAGATTGGGGGGAAGCTAGGGCTTAGCAGAAATGGTAAGTGAATTGGGGTTAATTCGATGGAAATAAGGAAAGGGGTTAAAGGGTATTGGAAATTACCATTCTATCCACGCTTTTAACCATGGTCCATGTGAAATTTGACCGGAGGGACAAATTGACAACGATTTAAAGAACTGGAGGACCCAATTGACTGAAATTGACATTGAGGGACCACATTACAGATCGGGAAACAATTGAGGGACCAAAAGTGCGATTTTCCCTTAAATAAATGGACTCTTTTTATCATACGGACTAATGCAATTTCACTTTAATTCAATCTCACAATTTTAATCATACTCAGTTAGGGTTAGGGTTACCCCATAGCACTCTTATTCTTATATTATGAATGCAGGTTGTTATATACTAGTATACCACCTAGATTGAATTAACATTTAAAAAAAAAAATTGATAAGAGCAAGTCCATTAGTGATTTTTGCAGGTTTTGAGATTGAGTTGGGAGAGAGAAATGAGAGGAGAGAGAAGGAAAATAAATTACTGCAAATTAAATTTTTTTAGAACAACTAATCAAAAAAGAATTAAAAAAATATTCATTGCAGGCAGGTATTGACGGATTTGGTGCACCTACCCCGTGCGCCCACTAGGCATATAAATCGCTTTAAATTTTTTTATAAAACTGCGACTTTTGGGATGCTATATAGTACTTAGATACATATCTAACCTAATATATGAAATGCTCTATGGTACTTAGATACAGGGGCGGATCTACAATGGGAGCAGTGGGGGCAGCTGCCCCCCTCCTCCCACCCCTATTACCCTATATATAGTACCTTGTGTATGTATATGTATGTATAGTACAGGATTAGATAAATATATTTCATATGTACACGTAATCAAAAGTTTAGTTAGTTGGGATGGAAAGTCACAAGTGAAATTTGGGAGAGTTTAAGGGATTGATTCTCAATGCAACCTTTGAATTTTACATTGTTTCGTCTTTTCAGAAATATTATATTTTTACATTGTTTTAGTCTTTTTTAGAAATATTATTCTTTAAAATATAATATGTGCAAGCATTCTTTTATATTAACAGTGAGATGTATAATTTATAATGTGTTTTCTATTTGAATCATTTTATTCTTTAAAATATAATGTGCAAGTATTCTTTTATATTAATAGTGAGATGTATAATTTATAATGTATTTTCTATTTGAATCATTTTATCAAACTAATTATACTTTTTTTTATAAATTTTTAGTGTGTTTTGATTTTTCGCCCATATCCAATAATATTTATGGTTAGTCTTTTAAGTATTTTTTTTTATCAAATGATCTATTTTATATTAATTTTTCGCTCCCACTAAAAAAAAATTCTAAATCCGCCCCTGCTTAGCATATCTACCTAATATATGAAATGTTTCATCCTTTGAATAAAACTAATAAATTATGCATATTGTTAAATCTTTGAACGCCAGCACACCAAACGATAATATTTTATGGTAAGATTGTCGAAGAAATCAATTTCTTGTGTTGCAGTCTTGCAGAGATGGAGATAGTAAGTTAATGAATAAAATAATCCCAAAAAGTAAAAAAAAAAAATAAAAAATAAAAAATAAAAAATGGTGATAAATAAGAACACGTAAGTCCAATGTTGCTTATCAGCTAGCTTATGCCATAAGGAATTCATTGCTTCAACACTAGCTATAAGCGATAATGCTATATATAGATCAGTACAACCAAACATCCATCCATTCACCTTAAAAATTAAACCAGATCAGAGCGAGGTGTGTAAAGAAGAAATGTACGCTCCAGCTCCCCAGCGGTTTTCATACGACTCTTACGTTGAACACGTCAGACACCGACACCAGGACAGAGGCTGCCTCTACGCTTGGTCGGTAACAACGTTTTCGTTTTTTCTCGTTGGAATCAACGCCACTGATAAACAGAATCTATGTTTATCATAACTAACATGAATTACATGACTCAGATGATAATATGTTTGTTTGTTTGTACAACGTTGTTGATGCAGTTTGTTCACGGTGTGTTGCTGCTGTTGCTGCTATGAAGCCTGCGAGTGCTGTCTGGACATCCTTTGCTGCAAATGTTTCTGAACTCTTGGAGAGTATGCACCATGTATGTTATCTTGTAATTTTATTTTTTTTTTGGTAACGAGAGTAACAGAGAAGAATACTTTGGCCAACTCCCAACATGGGATAAATAACAAGGAAGAAGAAGGGCAGTGTTGTAATTATGTGCATAATAGTTAGTTATAACCGCTTCTTTCTTTCTCTCTGTATATATATGTGATACAGTCGATACACAAGGACAACCACCTCTAATAATGAATTCCATCCTGTTCTGTTTACATCTTCGATACATCACAGCTTACTGCTCTCATCTTCGATATGGTATCAGAGCGTGAACGCTACACCTACGCAGCTGCCGTGATCGGCACAAGTGAGAACAATCCGGCGATGACTCCGGCCAGTGGCTCGACAGCTCGTCCCACTCCGGAAACGATTCCACAGGGGAATCAGAACAGTCAACAGAGAAGCTTCAACACCGGAGATCTGGACAGTCCTCTTCTCATCGGCGCCAACGACAATCTAACCGCCGTGCTCGTCACTCCACCTTTGTTAGGGAGTTCGAACTACGGAAATTGGAGCATCAGCATGCGACTTGCTCTGGAAGTCAAAAATAAATGGAGTTTGACAGACGGAAGCATCGCACCGTTGAGTATCGATCATCCTCAATACTCAATGTGGAGAAGGTGCAACTTAATGGTCTGTTCCTGGTTGTTTAAAGCTGTACATCCATCAATTGCTCAGAGTATAATGCATCTGGACAATGCGAGAGAAATTTGGGAGGATTTGAGGAGAAGATTCTCCCAATGCGACGCACAACGGATCTCCATCCTACAGAATGAGATCTACAACATGAAGCAAGGTCTCATGACCGTGAGTGAGTACTATACCAAAAGCAGGACTCTATGGGAAGAGATGAACACATTGAGGCCACTCCCCATGTGTAAATGTGGTTTGATCGATCAGTTTCGAAAGGAAAGGGAAGTTGACCAAGTAATTCGGTTTTTGCAAGGATTAAATGATGAATATGGCAATCTGAAATCAAGTATCCTAATCCTAGATCCATTACCTGAGGTTTACAAGGTATATGTTATGGCAGAAAAAATGGAGAGACAGATCAATCTAACCAGTTTGAATCTAGGCAATCTGGATGTTAATCTCTCTAATGCAGTTCAAGGCCAAGGTTCCACACATGAGGAAAGTGTTGTAGCAGCTATGAACACCTATAATGGCAGAAGGAGTAACGCCACAAAACCTAAATGCACATACTGTGGCATGATGGGGCATACGGTGGACAAATGTTACAAAAAACATGGTTACCCACCGGGATGGGTACCTGGCTTCAAGTCTAGGGGCAAACACACTACTGCAGCAGTGAATACAGATGTTGGAGATCTAGGTGTGTCAGCAGACCAATTACAGAAGATAATAGCCGTCCTCAAAACTCAGATGACAGTGCCTAATCCCACTACTAGTGCAGCAGTAACCTTGGTGGAAAATTTTGATGGAGTGCAGAGCAATGACAAAGGCAAGTACTCATCATCTCATATTAATTCTCTTGCTTTATGCTCTTATACTTGGATTATAGACTCGGGAGCTACAAATCATATTGTATGCTCCCTTGATTCCTTTGTCAATCATCACAAAGCCATTGGAGCTGCTGTGAACTTGCCTACTGGCCAATGCATCAATGTTGAGCATATAGGAGATGTCAAGCTGGATAATAATCTGTGGTTGAGGGAAGCATTACATATCCCCACATTCAAGTTTAATATCATTTCAGTCAGTAAACTTATCCAGGATACATCTTATAAACTCATATTTATGAATGGGCAGTGTTTGATTCTGAAGAATGGTCTGATGGCTGGTTTAGCTAAGCAGGAAGGAGGACTATATGTACTCAAGGAGCTGCCAAACTTGTTAGGAAGTAATTTTGTTATGCAATGTACTGATGCCAACATTTGGCACCAAAGATTGGGCCACTTTCCCACTAATAAATTGCATTTGTTTTCTGATATTGTTGTTTCTAAAGCCAAGGATTTTATCTGTGATGTATGTCATTTGGCAAAACAGAAGAGGAATCCTTTTCCAGTAAGTGTTAGCACTTCAAATGCTTGTTTTGACCTCATACATGTTGACATTTGGGGTCCCTTCCCGGTTTGTTCTCTAGAAGGACAACGTTACTTCCTTACCATTGTGGATGATTACTCGAGATATACATGGCTGCGTTTAATGAAAACAAAGTCTGAAACAAGGCAATTCATCCTTCAATTCCATTCGTATGTGCTCACACAATTTGGTTCAATGATCAAGATGATCCGTAGTGACAATGGCCCTGAGTTCAATATGGAAGAGTTCTTCTCCGCAAAAGGCATTGTTCATCAACGATCATGTGTCAATACCCCTCAACAAAATGCCATAGTGGAACGAAAGCACCAACATATATTGAATGTGGCAAGATCTATCTGCTTTCAGGCCAAACTTCCTCTACAGTTTTGGGGACTCTGTGTCATGCATGCAACTTATCTTATAAATAGACTGCCATCTCCAATCATCAATGGGGATAATCCATATCAAAGATTACATAGAAAGAAGCCAAATATTGAACAACTCAAGGTGTTTGGTTGTCTATGCTTCGCTGCTACCTTACCTACGAACAGACACAAGATGGCCCCGAGGGGAAGAAAATGCATATTTGTAGGTATGCCATCTGGAACTAAGGGATACTTACTGTATGATTTAAATGATGGATCCACTTTTGTCTCAAGAGATGTCACCTTTTATGAGAAACAATTCCCCATGTCTGAAAATAATGCCACGATGCGTTTGGAGGAGTCACAACCACCACTACCTGTGGTCCCTATAAATACCAATATGGAGCTTGAACTTGGTAATCCAAGCCTTTCCACACAGTCTGTTACTCCCAGCCAACCAGATTTGGCTATGCAGCCATCACCAGTTTACGATGGTCATAATTCACACATCCAGACAGTTGATGAGCCTAGCCAATCACAAGAAACTGTTCTTGAAAGTACTGATATGCCGTCACCTATTGAGATCAGACGATCAGACAGAATTCGACATGCTCCAAATAAGCTCCAAGACTACTACTGTGATGTCATCACAGATAAGAACTCTTCTCCACATCTCCTGTCCAATGTTATTTCATATGATAATCTTACAATGCCTCACATGATATTCTCAGTTGCTATTACCTCTGTTAGTGAGCCAAGGAATTATAACCAAGCCGTACAGCATGCCTGTTGGAAAGAGGCCATGGCAGCTGAGATTAAAGCACTACAGGAGAACAACACCTGGGAAATTGTTGATTTACCTCCCGGGAAAGTCCCCATTGGCTGTAAGTGGGTATACAAGGTGAAGTTGAAAGCAGATGGTACCATCGAACGTTATAAGGCGAGGTTGGTTGCGAAGGGCTTCACTCAACAACTAGGGATTGACTACATTGAAACTTTCTCCCCGGTGGCAAGGCTCACCACCATCCGCACCTTTCTTGCCATGGCTGCTTCGCATGGTTGGTACATCCATCAACTAGATATTAACAATGCGTTCTTACATGGCAGTCTTGATGAGGAAGTCTATATGGCTCTCCCTCCGGGATTTCAGAGTAACAGACCAGGAAAGGCATGCAGACTTCTTCGTTCTCTTTACGGCTTGAAACAGGCTAGCCGGCAGTGGAACTCCCGGCTAACTACTGCCCTGCTAAGCAGAGGATTTGTGCAGTCGAAGTCTGATCCATCATTGTTCATTAAAGGCCAGGGGATGCAGTTCATTGCCACACTTGTATACGTTGACGACATCCTTGTTTCTAGTCCTAATTTGGCCTTGATTCAAGAACTGAAGAGCTTCCTTGATATCACCTTTAAAATTAAAGATTTAGGGAGCTTGGGATATTTTTTGGGGATCGAAGCTCACATGAGTGATAAAGGCTTGAATCTCTGTCAGAGGAAGTATGCACTAGACATCCTTACTGAAGCTGGTTTTTTATCCTGCAAGCCAGTCAACACCCCCATGGTCCCTGGTCATCATTTACAGAAAGAAGGAGGAACATTACTTCAAGATATCAATGGTTATCGACGCCTTGTTGGTCGTCTCTTATACCTCACTGCGACAAGGCCAGATATCACATTCGCAGTTCAGCAGCTGAGCCAATTTGTGGACAAGCCTACCACTGCTCATCTCGTTGCAGCACATCGCATTCTGAGGTACATAAAGAAAGCCCCCGGACAAGGAATTTTCTATCCCAGACATGGTGACATGCACTTGAATGTGTTCTCTGACTCCGATTGGGCTTCCTGCCCAGAAAGTCGAAAATCCATAACTGGCTTCTGCATCTTCCTTGGAGCTGCTCCCATTTCGTGGCGAACAAAGAAGCAGGCCACTGTCTCCCGTTCGTCTTCTGAGGCGGAGTATCGGGCACTGGCCGCAACGGTGTGCGAAGTACAGTGGCTCACAACATTGCTCAGTGATCTGCTAATCACATTGAAGAGACCTGCTGCCATTTTTTGTGATAATAAAGCTGCAATTGCCATTGGAGAGAATTTTGTATTTCACGAACGCACAAAGCATATCGAGATAGATTGCCATGTCGTTCGTGAAAAAGTTAGCCAAGGTCTGGTTAAGCTGCTTCCGGTTTCATCCTCCGGACAAATCGCGGATGGCTTCACCAAGCCTCTCCCCATCTCTCTTTTTCAGCTCTTCATATCTAAGCTGGGCGTTCAAGATCTCCACGCTCCAGCTTACGGGGGGGTAACAGAGAAGAATACTTTGGCCAACTCCCAGCATGGGATAAATAACAAGGAAGAAGAAGGGCAGTGTTGTAATTATGTGCATAATAGTTAGTTATAACCGCTTCTTTCTTTCTCTCTGTATATATATGTGATACAGTCGATACACAAGGACAACCACCTCTAATAATGAATTCCATCCTGTTCTGTTTACATCTTCGATACATCACAGCTTACTGCTCTCATCTTCGATAGAGAGAAACTCACGACTACTATCCGGGTGTGCAGGGATAAACCTGTCTTATGATCCTAACTGACAAAAGACCATAGGCCATGTAGTGAATTTGTGATGTGAAATGTGTAATGACAAATAAAATTTGTTTAAAAAAGAAGTGAGATTTGGTTCAAAGTTGAAGTAAAAATCTTATTCTATATTTCCATATTTCCTTGACAATGGTTAACATATGTAGTCGAATTCGACCAAAAGAACATGAGTAACAAAGAAGCATGATTAAGGAAGCAAAAGTTAGCTAGAATCTTTGTACAAAAACATAGAAACCAGAGGCTGGATCGTAACAGACATTCTGCAGTTGAAAGTTTTAGCTAGCAACCAAGAATGGGGTTCCTGCCCTCGTCGATTTCAATGAGAAGCAAGTGGTCTGGATCTGCGCCACTTGGTCCCTCTGAGTAGAGGGTAGGAAGGTACGCGTGGTAAGCTGGCAAGTAGCGCGACACAAAATCTTTAACCTGTAGGTGAGCAAGGAAGAGAGTTTCTTAGGTGCGTTCTATTGACTACTGTTTTGTACTATGATATCCAAAACACTGAGATTAAGGGGTATTAACTACCTCCTCATCGGACATCCCAGGTTTTCCATCAGCCCTCATAGCAATCTCGGCCTGAAAATTCCCAGAACTAGTTAAACCAGAAGCAAAAGTTTTGGATTTTTTTGGCGTATGGTGGGTTTACTAACCTGCAATCGCCAATTATAGACACACGTTGGGTCTTGAATCTTGATAACTATCCATGATTTTACGAACTTGTCCCATGCATCATAGTATGCTTCTAAATTCTTGTTAACAATCTCTAGCTGCAGTATTGGCATTGAACACAAGTAAAATACTGTTTAGACTATAACAGAATGCGATGAACTAAGATTAGTTGAAATGAAACCTGTGGGTCAACAGCTTTGACAGCTTCGGATGGAAGGGGTTTGAAACCAAGCATCCAACCCTCAAACAGAACCACCTAGGAACCAACCAACGAGGAAAATCACCATCTAGGTAGAGATGAACGAGGAACAAGGAGAAGCTAGTCTTTCCATTTATCCCGAAAGATTAAAAACCACTTAAGTTGCTTTGGCTATCAATGTATATATATTATAGAAATAATAATAATAATAATAATGTCACGAGTTTTGAAAGCACCGTAAGGGGCCCTTCAATCTCTGGCCATGTGGAAGGATCAGCTCTATCGCCTCTACCATTGTATGCAGACTGCAAGTCATATGACAGAATTAGTGAAGAATCCGAGATAAAATAGCTAGAAACCGGTATTATATAACAAGTTAGTGAGTGATTCTTTACTTTATCATACCGAGGGAGCTTCATCTTCGTACCTGGATAGCACAGACAAATCAATTGACAATATATATTTACGGGATCATTGTACAGAAAGCAGAAGATTTAACCTTCTTTGGTCAATTTGGTTAGAGCCGTGAGAGTCTGAACAGCAAATGGAAGATCATGGCTTCCAGCATTACCACGCAACTGGAATGAAAACACACATCTCATCTCATCTCATCTCATCATTTTCTTAACCACAACTATGCAACATGTAGATTACTACCTCTAATAGCAAATTCCCGGGATTGCTTTCTCTTAGTTTGGCCTAAAACCAAATTAACGATGCATCAGAGACTACGAAAGCCACAAGTTAAACGATCCTAGCTACAACGCTAGTTTAAAGGATGACCTGATCCTCAGCCGTCAAATAGAAATCATCAATGGAAAGCATAGCTGATTTCCTGACATTCAACACATAAACGCGTTATTAAATACTTTTTTACACAGAAATGACTGATAAAAACGGAATATCACGCAACCTACCTCCCAGTGACCTGGAAAAGATAATCCAGTGCAAAAACAAGTGTCGTCTTCCCACAGCCTTGTGGTGCACTAAACCCAATCTGCGCTCCAAATCATTTCAACACCTATGTGAGAAGTTTTGGAATTTCGAAACCAACAAAGATAAATGAGAAATGTGTGTTTAATTAATTACCACCAAAGGAGGAACTTCATCTGCACCCTTCAACTTAGAGCAATGATCTGCTATTTCCCTTTCACACCACATGAACACTGGGATATAGTAATGATAAATTCTAACTTTCTGGGGGAGATTAAGGGTTAGCTGGTTGAGCTGAAACAGTCTACAAAGAATTGATCCATACTCTATCCACTTATCAATGGACTCTGCCACCGCTTCTGGGGTTAGGCCTGTTTTGTTCACTAGGGGGCCGGAGCATATGAAATCAAAAAGGTCATTTACAGAGGCAACTTCCACAGATTTCGTGGGGGGAACCGAATGCACTAATAAACTGTGTTTCCTTCCATTTGAACAAGGATTATCTTGCATCCACGAACCTGCATCAAGAGATAGAGGAAATATGAACAGATAAAGCCCCACAACATCCTCATTCCTAATCCTGGGTGTATGTGGATTGTGGAGGAATTGAGGGACAGAGTACGAGGTTGCAGTAAAGCAGAGGAATACTGGGAAAATCCAATATTTATCTATATTAATCCGAGAAAAAAAAATTACTCCGTACGATGAAATCCAATAGACAACGAAAGTCGCAACGATCAAAGACGGTTTGAAACCAGATGGTCGTTTCAAGATTCAAGAAGCTAACCCCAAAAAAAAAAAAAAAAAAAAAAAAAAAAAATTTACAGAAATTACCTGGTGAATCGGAGGAGCAGAGCGGCATTCGTGAGGTGAAACAAGAAAGCTTGGGTTTTGCTGCAGTTCCGACCTTGGGCAGAGGGAGACTGGAAACAACGTTAAAATAATGCTTCGCATTATTATTATTATTCATTATAAAACTGTTATTGTAACAGTGGAAAGAGAGTGAAGCGGAGGGTGACGTCAGCAGCCATGGATTGGCAGGATAAGATAATATTATATTCGGCACCGCCATTGTCGCCCCTCTCTCTCTCTGCGTTTCTCGCTAACTTTCAAGTATCTGTTTGGTTGGCCTAGAATTCAGAAACCATCTGAACATTGGTTTGGTGGATCGGATTCCCTTTGAAAGTACATAACTGCCCCTGCTGTACGCTCCATACAAAGGCAAATGGAATTTCCTCCACTCCCCATAATCAGTTTGGTTGGCACGATTGCATGAATGACCTTGTATTCTTATCTCTTAAAAAAGTCGAGAATTTTAAACTCCCTCGTAGAAAAATTAATTGTGCCACATTGAAGAGAGAGAGGGAGGATCTATTTGATAAATGGCGCTGATTGTAAGAAGGCGGCTGTTAGCTGTTTGGTATGATTTTTTTTTTTTTCAAAAAGCTAATTGAAAAGGCTTCTTTGAGTAACTTTTTGAATTTTAGTATTTTAGAGTTGATTTTTTAACTAAGTCAAACAATTAATAGTTGTCAAATAAGTCAAAATTGACTAATAGGCTAATATTTTACCAAACAGGGCTCAAGTTTTTTCAAAGTTTGTGGGTCTCACCAAAATAGATAAGGAAGCTGTCACATTGCGTTACGCAAAAAAAAAGGGGCAAATTATATCGTGCTAATCGATTATGCACCGCGCATCAAAATGACGTCATTTTGTTAAATGAAAAGAAATGGCATTTGTTTTCCGTCGCACTCTTCTGCAAAAAGTAACCCTGTTATTCAGTTTTATTTTGTATACACTACAGTTTCAGTTCGACACAACTACAATTTCAGTTCGGTATAACTACAGTTTCATTCGATATTTATAGACTCAAATATGTGAAAATGTTATTTAATTTTATTTTATATACACTAGTTTTATTAAAACACAACTACATGATCATTTTGATATAATTAAAGCTTCATTGTACAATATACACTCAAATATGTGAAATGTTATTCAGTTTTATTTTATATACACTGTAGTTTCATTTCACCACAACTACAGTATCATTTTTATATAACTCCAGTGTCGGTTTAGATGTATTGTAGTGTTAGTTGATGTTTAATACACCAAACATGCGGACTCCGTTAACGGTAACGGCGGACCGTTTTTTACCGTAGTGCACATACGATATAACGACTGAAAAAAGGCTCCTAGTCGAGCGCTCCCCGCAAAGTCCAAGTTTTTTTAGGGTTTGCGGATCTCACCAAAAGATAGAAGGAAGTTGCCACATCGCATGTGGCGCAAAAAAAGGCGCCCCAACGCATAAATACACTATTTATTTATTTATATATATTTTTTGCTGCAGCTTTGTTTTTTTTTTCCTTTTCTTTTTTCACACATTTACACTCTCATCTCTCCTATTTGACACCTAAAAATTTGTGCTAAAAACTTATCTATTAAGGATACCTTAGGACATCCCCAATATGAGTTTTTACATGAATTTTGGAATAGTAAAAACTAGATGTTAGATTTTTTTTATTTTTTTTCTCTATCATATCTCTCCTAGTTGACACCTCATAAACCAAAAAAAAATTAATTAGTGTTGAGGATGCTCTTAGGTTGCATATATTTGACATGCTCAAATTCCCAAAGCCAATAACCAAGGAATCGAACTAAGGCATATAGAATTTGTTCAAAGCTATAATGTAATTCATTTGAGTCCAATTCGTATTACATTCGTAAACTTTTTATTTAAAGGAAAAATGACACTTTTCCCCCCTTTGTTATATACTTATAGTACTTTTTCCCCTTAAATTATTTAAGTGGCAGTTTTTTCCCCTGATATATTAAATGGACATATTTACCCTTAAAATAAATATTTCATTTATTTTTCTTCTCCAACAAATTATAACCACGATTTGAAAAAATAAAATACATTAAGTGTTAAATTTAGAATATTTTAAAAATAAAAAAATAAAATTTTAAAAGAAAGTTTGAACCAACCGTTCAAATTGGATCCAAAATCGTGAACCGACGGTTCAAAATAAAACTCAAATCGCGATTATATATACTTATATGTGAGAGTCAATATAAATGCGAAAAAAAAAAAACATACACTATTTGCTAATTTGCAAATATTATAATTCTAATTTAAGCTATTACTAGTAGTTGTTCCGATTTGAACCTCCGGTTCACGGTTCAGGATCCATTTTTTCCAGTTCATGATTTTAATAAACGGGAACCCAAATATTGGGTTATGTTATGAATCATAACCGAAATTTTTTAATTTGATTGCTATAGTGTTTGGTTCAGTTCGAACCGAACCGTGGTCATCCCTACGTATAAGCAATAATTTGGTGAAGAAGAGAAATAAATAAAATATTTGTTTTAAGGGTAGAAATGTCCATTTAATATTATCAGGTGGAAAAACCGCCACTTCTATAATAATTGAGGGGACAAATATGAATGCATGAATAACTCAGGGAGAAAAAGTGCTATAAGCATATAACACAGGGGTAAAAAGTGCCATTTTCCCTTATTTAAATTATGATTACCAATTTATATATGAGTAGGGGATGAATTTAATTTTCTAACTTAATGATATGTAAAGAATAAATATTATAATGTGATTTTTAAATAATAAAATGTTTTCTTAATCAAAATGTTGATTGAGGTAATAATTTTGAATCAAGTTTAAATAATATGACTAGGGATCGAGTCTCACCAGCGGCAGTGTGGGAGCAACCTCTTAAAGTGAGGGGGGCTCCTTGTGCGCAGTGAGCACCGGTCTAGCCTCTATGGTTCATGTTCAGTTGAGTCACCATGATTTACATCCTCCCAAAATGCTCTGTCGGGCCGGGGTGTGGGGGGCCCTTAAGGTTGGGGTTCAGCCTTTTGGAATAAGTTTAAATAATATAGTATTATCATATGATGTGTCAGACTAATAAAATTACCCAATAATTAGTAATTTTTTTTTAAATATTTTTTTGAGTATTACTGCATTTGAATCTATAATTTCTCATTTGAAGAGTTAAAGAGATGCAACTAAACTACAAGCTACTTGTTTTTTTTTTTTTTTTTTTTTTTTAATATTACAATTTTATTGTGATGGGTTTTTTTTTTTTTTTTTTTTTTATACTTTATTTTTCAAAACATTAAGAAGAAACTTTGTTATCAAATATTCATTTTAATTGTATTTTCAAAAAGAAATAATATTGGGAAAATGGCACTTTTTCCCCCTATGTTATATACTTATAGCACTTTTTCCCCCTCAATTATTTTAAAAGTGGTGGTTTTCTCCCCTAATATATTAAATTGACATTTCTACCCTTAAAGTAAACATTTTATTTATTTTACTTCTCCAACAAATTATTACGTATATGTAGCGATTACTACGGTTCGGTTCGAACTGAACCAGACACTATAGCAATCGAATTAAAAGTTTTCAGTTATGATTCAGATCTAGAACCCAATATTTGGATTTCAATTTATTAAATTTAAGAATAAAAAAAAAAAACTGGATCATGAACCGACGGTTCCGGATCCCGTTCGCGATTTTGAACCGTCTTTATTTTAAAATTTTATTTTTTATTTTAAAATAGTTTAAATTCAACAATAAATGTATTTTATTTTTTCAGTTTGGAACATGAACCGCCCATTCCAGTTCGTGATTTTAATAAACTCTAAATATCGCGTTTTGATTATAAATTGTAATTGGAATATTTTGGTTTGGTTACTATAGTATCTGGTTTGAACCAAATTATAGTAATAATTTATTCGAGAATAAAAATAAATGAAATATTTATTTTAAGGGTAAATATGTCTATTTAACATTTCAGGGGGAAAAAGAGCCACTTAAATAATTGAAGGGAAAAAAGTGCTATAAGTATATAACATAGGGGGAAAAAGTGTCATTTTCCCAATAATATTCATTTTAATTGTTTAATCAAGTCTCCTCCCGACCATTTTCTTACCAAATGTGGAAATGTATTAAATGTCCTACCATTCTACCAACTAATGCCACTTTTTCATTTATTTATTTTGTTTACTTGGATAAAGATCAAATTGACAACTAATACACACAAAAAAAAAATAAAAATGATTAAACTACTCAATTTTGAAAATATGTAATTAGGTCATATTACACCTTAAAGTTGTGTAATTTGAGTAATTTCTAGATTGTGCTCCGTAATCTTAAAAAGTAATCTACTTAATCTAATTGTATAAATTTAAAATGTAATATATCATAATTTTACGTTTTGAAAATTGATCTGTTTAATTGCATTTTTAGTATCAATAAAGTGAATAATTTGACTTTTACTAAAAAAAAAAGAGTAAATAATTTGACCGTTATCACTTTTTTACTTTATATTTTTTATTTTTTGTTAATTTGAGGTCAACAACTCACGAATTTAAAAAAAAAAAAAATGTTAAGAATTGCAATGGGAGAATTTCACCATCTGGTGAGGTGTCTCCTAGTGAGCCTTAGACACTGATCTAGTGATCTTCACACTTAAAAGACATTGAATCACAAGATCTACTTTCAAAAAAAAAAAGAATCAGAAGATCTAATTTTTTCACAATTCTCGTAAAATTAAGGTGTTCCGAAGTGAAATTATTTGCCTTTTGCATTCAAGAAAAAGAAAAAAAAAAAAAAAAAAAAAAAAACAGAAAAGGAAGGTAGGAGACATACGGGATAGACATGTAACGTATTCGCGTACAAGGATACTTGTAGAAAAAGTGCTCCATCTTTTTGTCATTTGCGTATTTGGCTTCACCTTTTTTGAGATTTGTATTTGCTTGCAGAGCTAAAAGTCGTCTCTTCCAATCCAATCTAATAAGATAGCCAGCATAGCAAATTAGCCATCATTAATAAACTAATTTTTATAATCGATTCTCTGCAGTCTGCACTTTTTTTTTTTTTTCTTCTTATAATTATAATATAATTCTTGAAATTTTCTACCCAACTACAAAGTTTGAGACTTTGGTAGATTTTCTGCTACAAAAGTCCCACTTTTACTTCTGGTTTCTGGGCCGGTTTTGTTGGAGAAAGAGAGAGAGAGAGATGGGTTCATTTGGGATGCTAGCAAGAAGAGCTGTGCTAACAGAGACACCTGTTATGGTGCAGGTAAAAGCTTAGATTTTGTGAATGCCC